CAAACACCGGCCAGTGCTGATCCTGCTTAGCTTCCGAGTTCTGACAAGAACTTTCTATCCTGGGCTATCCAGGTGGTGGCAGTTCATGCATAAAGGCATCTATGAGTGCATGGCAGTGTCATTTATTTATTGTTTTTTGTCTAAAGTGTTTTTGCCCCTACCCTTTGACCATAGGTTGGTCCTATCACTCCCTTCCATCAAGTCTTCCACCAACAGACGTCGTTCAACAGAGAAGGGCTTTTCTATCAGAGTGGTGTGAGAAAATTTGGGATCAGTTTATAATGGGGAAAATAACACACAACGAATGAAATCTCAAAATTCACATTATTCCTTATTTACAGAGATGTGGCTCCCTGTATTAAACATTTTGGCTGAACATGACATCCCACCTAGCGACTCAGTGTGTCAGGATATGATTCTTCTATGATAGTTCATACTTTGAATTTGAAACATGGCTTGACTGTTCTGTGTATTTGTTACTTGGTTATTTATTATGCTTCACTAAATTGTGGATTCTTGACTTGAGAGGACAAGGAGAATCACTGGGTTCCCCCTAGGCTTGCCAAGTCCCCCCCGGGGGGCGGGGAAACCCCCGCCCCAGAGACCCGTTCCCCACCAACAGCGGATCGGGCCCCGGGGGGAACCCCACCCCCAAAGTACGTGACGTGCACGTCACCCGGAAGTGACGCGACCACGCCGGGCGTGCTGGGGGCGGGGCCACGGTCATCCGAGGGAAAACTCTATGGTTTTCCCTCGGATGGTTGTGGCCCCGCCCCAGCGTGCCCAGCATGATCACGTCACTCCTGGGTGACGTGGTTGCTGTGCGCGCGCGCTCCAGGAAACAGCCGGGAGTCCCCCACTCCAGCTAAAGGGAAGACTTGGCAACCCTAGTTCCCCCGGAGTACAGCCTAGGGAACCACAGTGAGGGCAGCATCCTGAATGTCCAGAACCCCACCGTGCCATATCCAACCAGCTCTCAAGCATGCATACCAAGTCTGCCCCTTCACTCATGAGCACATCCTGGATGGCCTTTGTTTTCCTACGGACTGACCTGGCTTTCAGCAAGAGCACATGGAGGAGACACAGTGGCATGGGTGCAATATGCTTGGATGGGTGAGGGACTGGACTGGGGGAGAGGTAGATCTTCAACTTTTAGTTGAGGACAGCAATGGGGGGGGGTTTGGTTGAAACTGGCACCCTCTCTTTCTTTCTATAGCCCCCGCATACTCTCCCCTGCCCTGCCGTGTGGGACAGCGGTGTGGCCGACAAAAGAGATACTGTAATTGCCATCTGGACTGGTTGTATTTATTGTCCTATTAAAGTTTTCTGTTTTTGTTTTTAACTATATGTTCATTGTGATTTTTAAATGTTTTATAGTGACTGTAAATCGCCCAGAGCCTGTTTGCAAGGTGGGCGGTTAATAAGACTCATAAATAGTCATAATCAGGGGTCTTGTTGTAGAAAAAGAGCTGCCGGAGCTCATTAGCATAACTCATTAGCATAACTTATTTGCATATGCCACGCCCCCTGACATCACCGGAAGTGACAGAAAGCCACACCCCCTGACATCACCGGAAGTGTGTCAGAAGGCCCGGCTACTTACCCTCCTGCTTCATCCTCATTCCCAAACGGAATGAGGATCGAAGCAGAGGGCGGGGTAAAGAAGGGGGCGGGGCTTCACCACGTGACCGCCCCGCCCCCTAGAGGTTCTCTTCCGGAGCTCCGTACCTGAGAGCTCCCCCCCGACTAGAGCCCTGGTCATAATAACTTAAAGTTCAAGCTCCCCTTCCTCTTACCTGGCCTGTCCACCGCCAGATTGTCTCTAAAAGTAGTTCTTTCCACAGACGCAAGGGCTTCTGCCTACTGCAGAGCAGAACTTTTGTGGCTCTGTTCCTCCTGTGGCCGCCCAAAATGCCTCCCAACTCTGTTCTCGGGGAATCCCCTCTTCCCCAAGAGCAGGAATTCAGGGGGCATTTCAAGCTGCTGCGGGGAGAACAAGCTGCCGAATTCACATTCTGCGGATGGAAGTCGTCGTGCCCGCAGAAGTGCTGCACCGGATCCTACCTATTGGGGGAGTCTTTTCTCCCCACACTAATTTGGCACCCAGGCTCACAGTGCTAGCTGGCCACAACTCAAATGCCAACAGGCAGGGCTATTTTTGGGCAGGAACGCACAGGAACGGAGTTCCGGCTGGCTCCGAAGTTGGCCACGCCCAGCAGGAACTCATTAGCATAATAGGCCACACCCAAGAGCAGAAACTCATTAGGATTGGCTACATTAGGGGTGTGTGGCCTAACATGCAAAGGGATTCCTGCTACAAAAAAAAGCCCTGGTTTTTGACAACAAACAAGGTAAACGGAATAAGAAGCGAAAGGTGGGTGTGGCTGGATGAGCACACGTCTGATGAGATGGGGGTGTGGCCTAATATGTTAATGTGCTGTGCTGTCAGGGGTGTGGCCTATTATGCTAATGAGTTCCTGCTGGGCTTTTTCTAGAAAAAGACCCCTGCCAACAGGAGAAAACGAACCAAAACAAAGCAGCCAGCAGGGATACTACCAAGAGTCCCCTGCTCCCCACTAAAACGCAGGTTCACGCCTCGCCGGGCCCCATCAAAATGGGGATCCCTGCCTCTCCCTCACGACTTAACCGAAATGTTCGCTTCCTTCACTCTTAAGTTCTTTCAATGATTCTGATATAAGCAAGGCCATCAAAAAGCAAAGAGGTCTAAGACAGACTGGGGGGGGGAGTGACCAGTAGAGGGCATTGTCCCAAGGGCTTGGTTCCCTTCAGTGTCCTCCCTTTTGTAGTCACCCACCACTTGTCGCAGGCCCCCTGACGTTGGCTGCCGGCCACTCCTGCTGTGTCTGGGGGACTGGGTCTGTGCTGGGGACTGGAGCTGTGGTTATTTGTTCCCACTATAGATTTGATTGGGAATATTTTTGGGGGGGGGGGTTGGGATGACCACACGTCCCTCCCTGAACCGCCTGCATCGTGCTACGAGGCTCCAGGTGCCATTCAGATAGTTGCACCACCACTTGAGTGGCACGGCTTGTTTTTTTTAAAAAAATGGCGTTGCGCATGCGCATATACACATGGCCGAATCACCACTCCCACTGGGACTCGCCTTACTCCCTTGTTCTTGCACGTCTCCCCCCCCCCCACCAACAGCAAACAAAATTAACCGGCGACGTACAACTGAGCGCTGGAGTCTATATGTGCATTGAATTTATTCAGTGCAGGATTGCTCATGCGCACAACAATGGAAGCTTGTAAAAAAACCTCGGCATTGCTAAAAGGACGTTCAGATGACCTAATCACGATCCTTGCGAGAGATGGCTGTCCAGCTTGGCGAAATCGCAGATTCAGAGCACAAATATCCGGAAAGGACTTGATTTCCCGGGTGTAGGAAAACTTGCTAGGGGACCGGGAGGATCGCGCAAGTGAGCCCACTTCAGTGTGGGAGACGGATGCGGCCGTCTGATCGGCAATTTTAAACGCGAGAGGGAACAGTGGTGAAACCCGATCAAAACGCCTGTGTGACCACAGCCTGGATCTCACAATGACATGGCCGCCCCAACCCTTCCAAGCAAGGGAATCCTGCACACTGGGACCGGAGGGTAACAGCCACTACAGGAACTTGCAGCACAGTGACGGCCCCCAAGATTTTTGACATCAGCAGAACGGCTCCCATCTCCAAATACCCAAATACATCTTCTTTTATGTAAGCTGGCCGTGGCTGGGAGGGCGGGGTATAAATCTGATAATAGATAAACAAACATAGTCAGCTGTTTCTTAATTCTGGCAGGGCTCCTGGGTCTTTGCTTCCTGGTAAGTTAAGAATCTAGCAGGTGGCCCTGACCTGGAATAGCCCAGGCAAGCCCGATCTCATCAGATCTCGGAAGTTAAGCGGGGCCAACCCTGCCAAGTACTTGGAAGGGCGACCTCCAAGGAATACCAGGGTCGTGATGCAGAGGCAGGCAATAGCAAGCCATCTCTCTGAAAAATGTCCCTTGTCTCCAAGCCCCGTTCGGGAGTCGCTAGAACTCAGCTATGACTTCCAGGCACACACACACACACACAAAGAATCTAGCGAGTGGAACTTTTCCTAGCATGGAGGTAACAGCAAAGAGAAAAGCCTCTCCTGCTATAAGCCTGGGGGACAGAGAGCTTTTAAAGCCACGGGAGAAAGCTGAGCGCTTCACTCATGAAGTGTGACCCCCCCCCCAGTTCTTCCCCCCAGCCCCTTCCAGCCCCACTGATCCAACCTGGTGATCCTCAGGCGGCAGAGTCTTCAGCGCCACAAGGAAGTCGTGGCTGATCTTCCCAGCAGAGCAGATTCCCCAGCGGATCGCCATGGAGGATTGAGACATCTTTGGGCTGCACGGGAGAGGGAGAGGGAGCGAGAGAGCCGATGCTGATGCTGAGGCCTGTTTTGCCAGAGTGGCTGAATCAGCTGCCCACACAGAGGGTTGGGCCCAGTGGGAGGGCAGGGCTCCCCAAAGGCAGGGAGTGGCCACTTGCTTGGGTGCTTCTTTGTTGACACAGAAGCGATGGGCCAAAAGCCACCGGGGAAGAAGGGGCCCTGCAGTTCTCTCTCAGTGGCGCTAGAGCACGTGGCTTGGGAGCCGGGAACCCACTGCCTCTCTCGGCTGAAAGTCCTACCCATGAGTTCAGATCCAGGGGTGGAGGGACGTTGGGGCTACTGCCCTTAAGAAAGGCCGATGCCTTTTGCCCATGGCCTGGGGCAGGATATAATGAGCTATTACTTCTCATGTTCCTTAGCTGACTCCTTTAATTAAAAACGCATTCCAGGACCAAGTCAGGCCCGCCTGGGTTTCCTAGATAAAAAATGAAATGGGGGCCGAGGATGGACACCAGAGGAACATTTCTGGGAACAGGGCTGCCCCCTTTATCATTGATAGATATTGGGGGGGGGCTGGACCTTCATGGTCTGTGGGACTGACCGAGATCGACATGTGCAGGTTCCCCATCCCTGAGAAAAACTTCCTCGGTTGACTCCTGCTTTTTGCCAAGCTCATAAAAGTACATCACCTACTTTGGGTTTTAAAAAGTCAGTGACTCTTCCCAGGCAGGTCGTTTGTTTACTGACTCATTGCTGGTCTAGGTGTCACAAAACTCATGCGCTGCTTCTGCTGCCTCTGTGGATCGATTGATCAGGCATGCACTGGAGGTCTTGTGCTTGGAATCCCCCCCCAGATATGTGCAGGCAAAATTCAGTTATTTAGTGCTATTTGAAGAAGAAGAAGAAGAAGAGAAGAAGAGATTGGATTTATACCCTGCCCTTCACTACCCAAAGGTGTCTCAGAGCGACTTACAAACTCCTTTCCCTTCCCCTCCCCACAACAGACACCCTGTGAGGTAGGTGGGGCTGAGAGAGCTCTGACAGAAACTGCTCTTTTTCAAGGACAGCTCTTATCAGAGCTATGGCTTGGCCAAGGTCATCCAGCCAGGTGCAAGTGGAGGAGTGGAGAATCAAACCCGGTTCTCCCAGATTAAAGTCCGCGCACTTAACCACTACACCAAACTGGCTCTCTGAGAAGCCTGTGCTGATTTTTAAAAACGGGCAGGGGGGGATGGCGTTTGGCTCCAGCCCCTCCCCACATTGACCACGGGAGTGGGGAGAACGGAAACCATGAGGAGATACCACGTGGAACAGTTGCCACTGTGAACGCCTCTGCATTTGCAATGGCGATACAAGCTGATCAGGGTATCACCCCAGATACCCTGGAGGTCGGTGACCCTGCCTATCACCCTTCCTTGCACAACGATACGCCTCAGCCCCTGCTGAATGTTCCTTCACTCTTGGCGGTCCTGCGGGTCATGGCTACATGGGAAAGGACCTCCGCAGCAGTAGCACTGAGGTTGTGGCACTCCCTTCCCAAAGAGGTTTGATAAATGGAGAACCCACTGCTTTACTGTTGTGGTTTTTGGCTTAGTGGCAGAGCATCTGCCTGGCATGCAGAAGGTCCCAGGTTCAGTCCTTGGCATCTCCAGTCAAAAGGATCACATAATAGGTGATGTGAAAGATCTCCACCTGAGACCCTGGAGAGCCGCTACCAGTCTGAGTGGACAATACTGAGCTTGACGGACTGATGGTCCAGTGCAGTATAAGGCAGCTTCCTGTGTTCATGTTTGTGTTCTGCCTCTGTGTGTGTGTGTTTGTGTGTGTAGGCCACCGCAAGTGATCTTCCTTCCTGGCCCTAATTTGTGGCTTGTTTTATCCATGGTGTTGTTTTACCATTTTAAATTGATGTCATAAACTGCTTGGTCGGCAGGCAGGATGTAAGTCAGAATGAAAAGGAAACAGGGCAGCCGGTGTTGAGACACAAGTGACCCACAAGGTGAAATGAGAACTTGACGTAAAGTCTTGGGGGTGAGGCTGGCCTGCTCAGCTATTGTGGTAACCTTGCTGTGGACTAACGTAGCGCGGTCTGTTAAGTGTACTTGTAACCAGTGTTCCCTCTAAGCTGAGTTAGTGTGAGCTAGCTCACAGTTTTTTAGCCTCCGGCTCACACATTTTTGTTCTTAGCTCAGGAAGGATGGCTCCAGAGCAAACTAATCTATGCAGTAGCCAAATTGCTCACTCACAACTTTAATGTCAGTAGCTCACAAAGTAGAATTTTTGCTCATAAGAAGCCACAGCTTAGAGGGAACATTGCCTGTAACGACAGTTGGCTCGGAATATGACAAGCCAGGTTGTGAGCTGGGGCCAGCTTGGAACCTTCATCCCATTGAGTGGAACCAGAGACTCCCCTTGTCTTCTGCAAAGACCCTTTCCTTGGCTGCAGACAGGGGTCATTTCGTAGAAAAAGAGGTGCAGGAGCTCATTAGCATAACTCATTAGCATAACTTATTTGCATAAGCCACACCCCCTGGCATCACTGGAAGTGTGTCAGAACGCAACACTCAGAACACTCAGAAGTGTGTCAGAACGTTCAGGCTCCACTGGACTGTTTTGGATTGCTAGCTATTGGGGGGGGGGAATGCGCAGAGCTGCCCTCACAGAGGAGGGAGAGCTTGTACCTGAATAAAACTTGGTCTTAAAGGTGCCACTGGACTGTTCTGGACTGGGGGGAGCTCTGCAACTTACCTGGCTGCTTCTTGCTCTGACTGAGGGCTGCTGGGAGCAGGGGGTGGGGCTTGTTGCATGTGCCCGCTCCCTGGGCTCTTTACTGCCGGAGCTCCGCTGCTGTGCGCTCCTGCAGGAAATGACCCCTGGCTGTGGAAGACTCCCTACTGAGCAGAAGGGAGTCATCAGAACTGACCCAATAGGCCACCTTTACATCCCTCGCAGTGACTGTCAGTTTGTTTATGAGTCCAAATTAACCATTGCTGCCCTCTAAGTCCAGGGGACTTTGAACCTTCCTGCATGTTAAATGTTCCCTGAAGGCCCTTCTTTATTTAACCCCCCCACACCCTTGTCAAAAGTTTGGTGAGTTAGCAGGGTTGCCAGCTCCGGTTTAGGAAATACCTGGAGATTTTGGGGCTGTAGCATAAGGAGGGGTAGGGTTGGGGGAGGGGAGGGGTATAAAGCCATAGAGTCCACCTTCCAAAGCAGCCATTTTCTCCAGGTGAACCGATCTCTACCTGGAGATCAGTTGTAACAGTGGGAGATCTCCAGTTACACACCTGGAGGTTGGCAACCCCACTGGGTAGCCACGTGGGACAGTAGCGCCCAAACTGTGGAACTTCCTCTACAGGGAGATTGGCTTCATCGCTTCTCCGGTGGCATTCAGGCACCCGGATCAGGTGGGACTCTCGGGAGAGGAGGGCCTGGCCTCTGCCTCCTTCGAGGGTGATCTGGCTGTTTTGCTTCTGGCACAGCTTATTCTTGCCTTCGATAGCTTGTTATTCCCATTGATCTCCAATCCTGTAACCCCTGCCCTGCTGCACTGTCCATTGGTGCCTTTTATGCTGTCTGACTGCAGTGCTCATATCCTGTCGTCTGGCCTGAGTCTCCATGAGAAAGGTGGACAATATATAAATAATAAAATTCTGGCTGTACGTCTGTAGGTTTTAATTGTAATGCTCTTTCCTTTAAACAAATTATTTCTGTGAGTTGCCTTTTGGATTTAGCCAAATCAAACGGTGGAAGCTAGCGTGGTGTAGTGGTCAAAGTCCTGGGTTAGGATCCGGGAGACCCAGATTCAAATCCCTACTTTGCCACTGAAGCTCACTGGGTGGCCTGGGGCCAGTCACTCACTGTGGTCGGACTACCCTACCTCACAGGGTGGTTGTTGCGAGGATAAAATAGAGGGAGGAGAGCAATGCTGTAAGCTGTTTTGGGTCTCCATTGGAGAAAAAAGCCAGGTATAAACACGTCTCACTAAATAAATATAAACATTTTAAATTAATGATAAATGCATGACCCTGCTCCCGCACTTTGAAACCTTAATGGAAACGATTGAGGACCTGTTTTGGAAAGCACATACAAGTTAGCTATGACTCACTTCAATCCGATTACTTTCAACTGGACAGACAGGGTTGGAGTTTCAACGGGATTACCTCTGTGTAGGATTACACCATTAGTTATGACCAACTTTTGCTGGATCAGGGCCCCTAGTCTCTGAGTTTTTATCAACCTTGTTAAAGTTGTCCTGGGATCTAGAAACCTTTTTGTTCCATTTGGGTTCTGCTTGATAATATTCTGAAAGCCACATCCCACCATCTGATGAGGAACATCGGCTATGTTATCAACCAGAGACTCTGGATGTGAGGAAGACTCGAGACTTGCTAAGGTATCCCAGACTGAATAGCTGATCCTATACAAAAACTGGCTAGAATATGTCCAGACTGTTCCCACAGGATCCAGATAACAGGCCTGTTAATCTCTGGGTAAATTTTATTTCCAATCTATTGCCCAGTTTTATAAAGCAGGGAAGGTGGGTGACGCGGCTTCAGTTCATCGTATCAAAATGGCTCCCATTCCCCTTCAGCATGGCTGCTCCTTCCCTTGTTATGAATACATGAAGCTGGCAGACGGTGCTGTTTCTTCACCATTTGCTGTTTCTTCCGTAACGGAGCTGTCTTCTACACCTGGCAAGGCGGCCTGTTTCCCCTGCGTAGTGTGTTGTCGTGGAGATAGTTTTGGAAAAACTGAGCTGAGGCTTATGAAGCCTGAACCAAAGTGATGATATTCAACAATAGAGCTGCACAGATCAGAAATCTGGTTGCCAAAGCAAATGATAAGGGAAGGTCAGGGGGGTTACAACAAACTGGGAGAACTTGATAAGAACATTCTTGACAAATGGGAGAGAACAAGGGGAAGACTGTCTTGAAGTAACAGGTTGTGTGGAGGTCCACGTTGACAAAAGATCATGGCGTCGCCCCTGCCCAATAAGTATGAGAAAGTCAGAGGACGGAGGCGAGCGATACTGAAAACCAAACAGATGATGTCCAGTTTCACGAGACAGCAGGAAACGATCCGGAGCAAAGCCGCAGGGGGTCGGTGGTCAGAAACTGGGTTGGGTTGGGCCTCTACTCGCAAGCAAGCTTCCCATCGAAGCTGGATAGACAGATGGAGAAGGCCTGAAGCGCACAGAGCGGGTAGCGGTAATCCATGGTGAACACATCGGGTGCCACACGGCCAAACTGCAGCACAATGTACTGGGCTGTGGGTTGGGGAAGAAACAGACAACTGAGATGAAGGGCAGCAATGGAATAGCAAACTCGGTCCCTCTGCCTACACCTCCAACCGAGGCTTCCTCAGAAACATGATCAGCCTTTTCCTCTCACGCAGACATGCATCCCTCTTCCTAGCTGTCTCCTACAACCTCCGCCCTTCTGCCTAGCTCTCTCTCCACAGACAGATGGTGAGCTGAGGCAGTCGGCCATAATGAGGGTCCTCACATGGCTGTGTCTACATTAGCCAATTTTTCGCGGATGCAGCAAATACCCTACATCACTCGTGCAATCTGCACCAAACCCTCGATCCATCTAGGGCAACCGTTTATCCAAAGGCCTCTTGTCTTATTGCATGGGGGCAAACCTGACCAGATGGACATCCCAACACCTCTCAGTGTCTTTTAAAGGTAAATTTCTGGTATGCTCAGCCCTGACTCAAATCAAGGCCAAGGGGTGGGGAAAGGGATTTAAACTTTTTCCTTCCCTTCATGTACTTAATGCCCTCTTTGAGCATACAAAAGACAAACAAGGGCATCTGTCTTTCACCTGATTTTTGGGTCCCTTCCTCAGGTCGCCTGGGTCCCTTGACCAGCATGCTGCATACTTACTTGGAAGTAAGTCCTCCTGATAGCAATAGAGCTTACTTCCAAATAAACCTGGTTAGGACCAGGCCATAAGCCCTCCCCCCCCCCCCCCGGAAATGGCATCCTTGTAACCTGCCCGCCACTCACGGTCGTCATCCGAGATGATCTGGAAGTTCTTGACGGAGGCCTGGGTGACACGTCCGTGGAAGTTCAGGACATATGACTGGGTCTCCTCGTTCCAGGCTGGCATCTTGTTGTGGAGTTTGATCAGGTTCTGCATGTTCCGGTTCTGGTACCGAATCAGTAAGGTCTCGTGTTCCTGTGGGCACACACATACACATCAAGTGTCTGGTGTCGGGTGCTTTTGCCCCCAGAAGTGCGCCAACAGCAGCAACCCACTCACATTTTTAGGCCGGATACAAATCCTCTCATTTTCATTGTCCGAGGACATGCCGGGGAGTATCACCGTCATTTTCCGTGGGCCCCTGAAGCCCAAGACATTTGTTTCCTAGGAGATGGGGAAGAAATGTGTTAAACTCTGCATCTCATTCCACAGGTGCTGTCGAGTTGCTACCGATACTGGATCATTGATTGGTGCACCATTCTGCAAAATAGCTTTCTGTCCCTGGTGGTGTGCATGTGGGTATCTTCTTAGACTTTTAAAATGCAGATGTACCAGTGTGGTGTGGTGGTTAGAGGGTCAGACTAAGACTGGAGAGACGTGGATTCAAATCCCCACTCAGCCACAGAGCTCACTGGAAGACCTTGAGCCAGCCACATGTGTTCTCTCCCTCCCTCTCAGCCTAATTTACAACACAAGGTTGTAGTGAGGCTGAAATGGAAGAGGGGAGAAGCCCGGACACTGTTCTGAGCTCTGAGAGGTGAGATTAAAAAGGTGATGCATAGACAGAAGCCAGCAACTTTGATTTAAACACTTTCTTGTCTCCTCCAACTGCCTCGTAAGAACCTAAGAAGAGCCCTGCTGGATCAGACCAGTGAGGGTCCATCTAGTCCAGCACGCTGTCACGTGAGGGTCCATCTAGTCCAGCATGCTGTTGCACACAGTGGGACAACTAGTTCTTCTGAAGGGCCAACCACAGGGCAGAGAGGCCGAGGCCTTCCCCTGATGTTGCCTCCTGGCACAGGTTACTTAGCTGGCAACATGTAAGTTTCACACTGGAGGCGATAGGGCTCCCTGGGGTGGTTTGAGGAGGCAAAGGAAGCAGTGGTGGTGGCGGCGGGGAGGCTCCTGCTGCTTCTCCCTGCTTGGTGTGGTCACAAACAGATGTATGCCTGGGAGGCATCACACGTGTGATACAAAGCCTGACTCCATACCCTGGCAGCATCCTCCTTTGAGGGAAACTCACATAGCAAATGGCGACCAGCTCTTGCCGCAGCTCAGCTGATTCTGGAACAAAAGGTTTCTTCTCTGGGCTGATTCCACTGTCAAACACGGTAAACTTGGTTCCCAGCACGTTTGATCTAGAAGCAGGGAAATGATGCTTGCATAGTTCAAAATTCATTTTATTTTATTTCCCTTTATTTGATTCTCCAAAAAAGTAACCAAATAATCCCAAAAAGATGATGATGATGACAATAAAAAAGGGGGGAAATGCAAACTAATACCAAAGAATCTGAAAAAGATAATGCAGAACGTAACCTTTTATGGTCATGGCTCCCAACCCAAAGTAGGGTTGCCCTCCTGCCAACCAGCGGGGGATGGGAGGGGACTTACCAGGAGAGAGAGGAAGGCCCAAGAGATATGGGGACGGCACTTCCAGTACACAGTGGAAATAATGTCATCAAGCTGTGACATCTTGGTTATGCTCTCATATTTGGGCAAAAACTCTATGGTAAAAATGGCTTCTACCGTAGAGTTTTTGCCCAAATACAAGAGTGTCACCTGGATGTCACTGGTGTGATAACGTCACTTCCTGTGTGCGCCAAAAGTGATGTCACCGGGGATGTTACCTGGGCCTTCCTCTCTCTACTGGTAAGTCCCCCACCCAGCCAACTGATCAGCAGCATGGGGTGGGGCCTGGTGGCAGGGGACCCCCACCTCCACCAGGGGAGCTGGCAACCCTAACCCAAAGGACCCTGGGAAATGTAGTTCTCTGAAAAAGCTAGTGTTTGCTAATGAACTCCCTTCAGGGCTCAAGCAGGAGAGACTAAAATTCTATCACTTGGACTTGTGCAGCCTCAGTTTGCCCCAGGACAGTGCAGGACAAGGACAGGGCATTTGAGGCTTCAGCTTCCACCCCTGCCCTGCTATTACCTTTTTAAAGGCAAATAAACATGGCCTTTTAAATGATGTATCTTTCTCTTTAAAATGCTAATAGTAGAGCAGGGAACCTGGTTAGCTGGTGGTTTGGCAGCTCAGGTCTTCAGAGGAGCCAGCATTTGAGCCCAGGCCACCCAAGATGTAGGCTGCTGTTTCATATATTGGTTTATGCATATCGTCCATTTTTCAGGGTTGTAAGCCACTTTGAGTCCCTTTAAATAATTATGTAACCAGCAGTGCAATCCTAAGTAGAACTGGATTTAAATGGATTTAGACAGGCATAAGTCTGTTGAGGATTCAACTATGGATCTCCCAACCATGCACGGTTGTAATTGCTGCAGAGGGTGCTGAATATGACTGCAACATTCATGGGGAAAAATTAGATTTGATCTCAATTCCCACCTGACCAGTTATGTGCCATGTAGGGAGAAATATCCATAAACCTACATGATGGCCGTATGTTCTCCTGTGAGGAAAAAAAACACAGCTCTGGGGTGCTGAATGAAATTGGGGAAATGGTGCAGGAGATTACACCCTGCTCCACACTCCTTGCCATGGCTCACTTCTGATTCAAGCCCCCCCAACTACTATTTCCACCTTTAAAGACTGTTGACAAATTCCTGATATCATGTCCAATCTGTCCTTGAGGATGAGCTTCCCAGATAACAGCCAGGATTCAATGTAAAAAAAAATCAATGTAAAAAAATCACTTTGTGGCCTATTATGCATGGGCGCTTTGCCGCACTTTCACCATGCCTGTCTGACGGGTTTTCTTTTTCGATCTACACTGTTTCCCCTCCCTTCAGTGCTCAATTCGCTTTCTGTTTGCTGTTTCCCCCAGGTTTTCTGAGAGTGCTTTTGTGCTGGTTTTTCCCTTGCTTTGCTTCCAAGCTGAAGGTAATTCAAAAGCATACAGATTCCCTGGGATTTCCCTCCCATCCTTTTCCAGCCCCTTGTAGGCCACTCCCATGCCCACATCCAGGTCGTTCTGCCCAGGGGTCGTTTCATAGAAAAAGAGCTAGGGGGACTCATTAGCATAACTCATTAGCATATGCCACACCCCCTGACATCACCGGAAGTGTGTCATAAGGCCACACCCTCTGACATCACCGGAAGTGTGTCATAGGGCCAACTCCTCCTGGCTGAATGAGGGCCGGAAGCAGGGCGGCCGGAAGCAGGGGGTGGGGCTTCGTCATGTGCCCCCCCCCAATACCTCACCCGGGGGAACTGCGATCCCCCGCGCTCCCCCCCGAAATGACCTCTGGTTCTGCCCAATCTGTACCTTCTGCCATTCATCAATGTGTCCCTCGTTGTTTTACATTTTAAGGTTTTTTTACAAGTGGCATGAGTCTAGCGATTTAAGACTGCTGCTAGTCTCAGATCACTGTAAAAAAGAAGTGACTCCCGCTGGGCTGCTCTGTCCTGTCGCCCAGTTTCAACTGTGGCAGGAGGAGGCAGCACAGAGCTGGGTCTGCGGGGATCCATCGGCTCCCTGCAGGCACAGCAAGCTCAGCTGGGCTGTTCCCCACAGCTTACTGCAGAGGATCTGCACAGTCCAGCCTTTTTGGTTGTAGCTGCAGAATAAATACACCAGAGAAAAAAGAACGGTGCGTACAGCAGGCCCAGAATCCAAAGGCTTGACTGCGCAGATTCTCTGCAGTAAGCTGTGTGTGCATAATAGGCCTGTATCAGGGATTCCCAGCCTTTTTGAGCCTGCAGGCACCTTTGGAATTCTGAAACGTTAGGGTGGGTGCAGCCACAATATGGCTGCCACAGAGGAGATGGAGCCAGCCACAAAATGACTGTTGCAGCTTATCTCCAGTCACACAGTGAAGATCCACGTGCTTTGGTGGCTGAAGCAATATGGTCAATCAGAAGTCTTTGCTGGGCAAAAGACCCACTGGACCTGTTCACTTTTGAAAAAACACTTGGTGTATAACCAGGGCTTTTTTTGTAGAAAAAGCCCAGCAGGAACTCATTAGCATAATAGGCCACACCCAACAGCAGAAACTCATTAGCATATTAGGCCGCACCCCCATGTTAGCAGAAGTGTGGTCATCCAGCCACATTCACCTTTTGCTTCTTATTCTGTTTACCTTGTTGTCAAAACCCAGGGCTTTTTTTGTAGCAGGAACTCCTTTGCATGTTAGGCCACACACCCCTAATGTAGCCAATTCTAATTAGTTCCTGCTGGGTGTGGCCAACTTAGGAGCCAGCCGGAACTCCGTTCCTGTGCGTTCTTGCCCCAAAATAGCCCTGTGTATAACTCCAAAGACTGCTTCCAGCATTCATTGGTTCAATAAAGACAATGCCTCACTTGTTCTGAGTGTGTGTGTATGACCGTGTGTGTGTGGTTCCCCCCCCCCTTTCTATTAGACCCAAGATGGCACCTGGGCTGTAGCAGAGATTATGTTAAGGAGCCATGTGACCCATGTTGTGTCACCCTCCCTGGAGAGCTGCCTGTAAGAGGAATGAAGCTGAGATATACAACTGCCCCAGGAACATAAGGGAGAAAACAGACACACCTGACTTTTCCAATGAAACTCTCCCCGCACCGTGACAGATCGATGGGATCCAGAGAAATGAGGTAATTGGAAGTCTTGCTCTTTTTCCTCTTCCGTCCAGACATGAGGAAACGCTGAAGAAGAATGCCCAGATGTCACACACACACAAAACCTTTATTGACATTGAAAGCACAAGACATCATGGAAATAAAGCAAAATACTAAGATGCATCAGCAGAGGTCATTTCGGGGGGGATCAGCAGAGGTCATTTCGGGGGGGGGGACATGACGAAGCCCCGCCCCCGGGTGAGGTACGGGGGGCGGGGCACATGACGAAGCCCCGCCCTCTGCTTCCGGCAGCCCCGCTTCTGGCCCTCATTCAGCCAGGAGGAGGCAGGAGAAGAGGGAAGGTAAGTTCGTTGGGGGTGGGGTGTGTGGCCTTATGACACACTTCCGGTGATGTCAGGGGGTGTGGCATATGCTAATGAGTTATGCTAATGAGTTCCCCTAGCTCTTTTTCTACGAAACGACCCCTGTGCATCAGTCACTTACACTTGGCTATTCAAGCCTCGTCTTCTGATTGCATAATATAAATTTTTTGCAAAAGCCTCCATTATTTCACAATTAGAATTAAACAGAAGAAAGTGAACAATTGAGTCATCAGAATGCCAGCTCTTACCCTCTAGAAGTGGAGTAATGAAACGAGACTGAATATCCCTATAAAGGGGGCAATGAAGTATGGTGTGTGTAGTAGATTCTATATCTTTTAGAGAGCAAGGACAAAGTCTGTCTACATATGGTATCTGGCGGTACCTCCCTAAAAGCACCTCCGATGGCAGAACATTAAAGCGTGCCAGCATGTATGCTCTGCAATAGTGTGGGCCTGTTAAACTTAACAGATATTTCGCAGTGGAGCCCGTGTCAAAAGTCCCCAGCCTACTTGGGGAGCATCTGCTGGCTGCGCGTTCCCTAAGTTCTTGCCTTTTGATGCCGAGAAATCTTTGTTTAATAATAGCATAGGCTTGTTTAACTGAAAAGGGGGCTAAATAATCCGATGCCCAGAGGTCAGCGAGATGGAGTCCTGGCCAGAATCTCTTCCTGACTGCCACCATTCCCCATCTGGTGCTCATCTTACCTGCCAATTTTTGCAGATCCCCAGTCTAATGCTAATCGGAATCCCTTCTCTGAGCCATCTTTCCCATCCAGACTAATCACAGAATAATCTGGGCTTCTTTAATCATAAAATTAGCCAAAGAAAACCCAGGAGTGGATTGCTAAACAATGACAAGAGTATGGGAACGGGTATGGGTTGCACCACTTCCTTGATTCAGGTGGATAGCCGTGTTGGCTGAAGCAACAGGACAATGTTTCTGTCCAGTGGCACCTTAAAGACCAACAAAGTTTAATTCTGGGTATAAGTTTTTGTGTACACACTAAAGTTTATACCCAGAATTAAACTCTGTTGGTTTTAAAGGTGCCACCGGACTCAGACCTTGTACCATTTCCTTGAGAAATTTATCTGCAATAGACTGATCATTCTGATTGAGACGCTTTCCTGTTCCATGAACCATTGCCACCATTTGAACTGGACAAGAAGAATGTCCTCTTAAGAAGTGTCAATTGTTTACTGAGGTCGCCAAGGCCAGAGAGAGTGCCATCTAAATTCCTAGAACACAAGGGCGATTGTAGCTCTAGGCCAAACTAGATACGACGGGAAGGTTCCATCTGTATTTATTCATGTCCCCTGTAAATATGTCCACCATAAATAAAGTGACGAGGCCAGGGGAGCCAAAACTTGCTTCCCTTCCATACCATACCCCACAACCCCCAGTATCAGTATCAAAGCCAGGCTGAGCCAAAGGTGCTGATGGCAAGGGAGGGTGTCATGAGAAGATGTGGGAGGAGCAGGAGTTCACCTCCCCTTGACCAAGCACTTCAGTTTGTTCTTTTTAAAAGACACCCCCTCACTTTAGACATGAACAGGTGGACACATATGTAAAAACACGTGGATCTGTTCTCTCTCCACCCAAATCACAGTTTACTTGGCCCTCAGCTGTAGACCACATGGGTTATCTGCAGAATGTACCAAGTTCAATCCTGGGCACAGATGTAGGTTCACCAGAATTCCAGCCTGAACACATTTCAAAAACAATAACTGGATGGCAGAGACTGAGAGGGGTACCTCTTAACAGTTTTAAACAACAGATGACCTGGCCTGAATATCTGGGATGGGGCAGGATACGAGGTCAAATAAGTCAGATGAGAATTAATCAGTCCCAATGGCAAAAACCGGTTCCCTGTGAATTAAAACCCAACAACAACGGAATTATCTCCTGCTGGCTGCTACCTTTTTTCCATTTTCCATCTCAAGATGCAGGTAGTAGAAAGGAAAGATGCCCTTGTCCATCCCCTTCCGGTCCCGTGTGATGCGACACTGGACTGTGCTCCCCTGAGGACAAGGTTTGAGAACAAACGCCTCTATGTCGTCCACCTTGAGGGACATCGGGATGCTTGATTCCCCACTCGGAGTCTGTCGGGGTGAGAAGAAAAGGTGGGCCGTGATGGAAGGAGGTTTGGAACCTCTCTCGAGACAGATCATTCCCTGCTGTGACGGATGCCGAGGGAGCAGCAGCCTATCCTGAGCTGGGGCAGCTGCCGAGGCCCAGGTCTTCTGATGGGTCCCGCTGCCACCCTCCACACCTGTTCAGCTCCCAGGCTTGCTTGTTGTGAGCACTGCATGCGCTGCCCGGCAAAGTCAGGAAAGGGTGTGTGAGCACTTGGAGGACGGGAAATGAAATAAGGGAATGGGGGAAGGCTGGATGGGTGGGTAGTAGGGAAGGAGAAGACAACCAGGTGGGCAGAGAGGTGAGAGCGGGGGTGGGGGTAGTGGTGAGGAGAGGAGGGGGCCCCGGGCACTCTCAGCCCAGGGCCCACCAAAACCTGGAACTGGCCCTGGACTGTTGTCTCTCTTGTTTGGACATAAGGGCACACACCTGAGTGTGCAGGTGACAGAAGAAAACAGGGAAGTGGAGCAACAGCCCACCTGGGGCACGGGGGGGGGGGAAGGGAATTCATGTGATAGTGAGAGGCAACATGTACATTTTTACAGAACCAAAGTCGGGAGAGGCAGAGCTTGCCTTTCAAGCCGAAAATATCCCCAAGGGAACACCCGCATGTAGCCACTCATGCCTGTGTGATTTTCAGCCTCTTACATTAGACACGCCGATCTCCTCACGGGTGTACATGACCCTGCTCAGCGTGTCCTCCTGATCCTCCTGGAAATCGGCATCCTCTGTTTCATCTTCATCATCTTCACTCACACTCCTCGTTCCGTTGGTGAGAGACCCTGGGAAGAGGTGGGTGGGTGGGTGACTAAGGGGTGTGGGTGGACAAGGCGAAGCATTCACGCCCTCTTCTGCCCTGTGGCTTGCACTTCTTTCAGCCAGGACTCAGGAATCCTGGCTCCTCCACAAGATCCTGCTAGCCTATCAAGCCGTGAGCCCAGGCTTCTAGACCACCTTGTTCGGCTTCATTTTTATATTAAAAAAGAAATTAATAACTAGTCTTAACAAATTGCTTGGCCGATTACAAACATGAACATACAGTAACAGCCAAGCCAATTTAGCCACTCCCACCAGCCTCCAGGACTTGGAGGGGTGTGTGGACACGGGCCACCAAAATGACCAGAGCCAGTCCTGCCAAAGAAGAATACCCAATAGCTTAAAACTGACAGATTTCACCATGTTATTTCTAAATGTATTAACTGTGGGGGCTTTTTGGTGAGAAGCCACAATTGCAGGAGCAGCTTGGTTTATAAAATAAAGCATTCCAAAAAAGCAGGGCCAGTTCATGGCTCGGTCAGATGGTCCCGGAGTCATGGTAGGGGCAAGGGGGAGATATGGAATTTTTGTGCCAGTGGACCTAATTTGTTTGACCTGCCTTTTCCAGGCAATCTGCCTGCCTCCTTCCCTCTTTCTCATCAGAAGAGTCTGTCTCCAGTGCTTCACTGTTTTGCTTCACTGTTCTCGGCCATATTCCCAGAATGCACTGTACCAAACCCAGCCAGTCGGAGACTGGATTGGCTGATGGCTCTTTTGAGCTGGAAGACTTTTTACCTCTTTGCACAAGCATCCTGTCACGGCGCTTCTTCATGGGTGAGGGTGGTACAGTCAGTTCCTGGGATGCCTCTTCCTCGCTTCCAGAGTTGCTCTGGAGAGAACAGGTGTTATACAGCTCACTATGAGCATCCTCGGACTCTGCAGATTCCAAGCCTTCATTCTGGGGGCTCTCCTTGGAATCTAAACGGGACGAGGCAGAGAAGCAGTCACTTCTGGGCGATTTCCACACAGGAACAGGCTTGTGTGGTTTCCCCACTGCTGCTATGGCTGCTCTCACAGCACAGAATGGGGCTTCCATATGGCAGGTTACCCTACAATTCCCTTGCCCTCATCCCCCAGCAGCAGACATTACCCCTCACCAGGGCCACTGGGACTTTTTCAAAAAAATGTTTTTTGCAGTTTTATACCAATATGCTGGGGTGTGGTTGTTGTTGTTGTTTGTATTTTTTGGTGTTTTTTATATGTGCGTGTGTGTGTGTGCACCTGGAAGTCATGGTGACCTCTGGTGACTGACCCCTACTGGAGGCCAGGAGGATATTCAGAGAGGTGGCTGAATAAAGCCTGCCCTTGCCACCGGTATTCCAAGGAGGTCTCCCATCCAAGTACTTGCCGGAGGTTGATCCTGCTCTACCTTCCGAGATCAGATGAGATCGGGCTTTCCTGGGCTATCCAAGTCAGGGACCGATATGCTGTTATAAAGCTATGTGTAACAGGTTGTGTGGAGCTGCGGTGGCTCAAGTGGTTAAGATGCTGAACTGCAGGCTGTGGAAGGTCAGTAGTTCAGCAGTTCGAGACCCGAGTGTGCCGCGTGACGGAGTGAGCTCCCGTCTCTAGTTCCAGCTCCTGCGAACCTAGCAGTTCGAAAGCAAGAAATTGCAAGTAGATAAATAGGTACCACTTCAGTGGGAAGGTAACAGCGTTCCATGCGCCTTGGTGTTTAGTCATGCTGGCCACATGACCACGGAAACGTCTTCGGATAGCGCTGGATCTTCGGCTTTGAAACGGAGATGAGCACCGCAACCCTAGAGTCGGACTCGACTGGCTTTCGAGCAAGGGAACCTTTACCTTTACCTAACAGGTTGTGTGAATTCCCAGCTTTCTTTCCTTTCTTTCTTTTATTTTAAAAGTAAGTCTCTAGCATCTCCTTTTACAGAGTTATGCCTTACCTCTTATATCTCCACCATGGAAGAAGTTAGAGAATCCCTTTTGTGAAAAATTGAAAGCCAGGAAGTCACAGAACCTGCTACATCTATTCTTATAACGGTATGGCAATATGAAATTGCTGATTTAAAATAAAAAGCACCCTCCTCCCAACCCCATGGTGAGGGGAGGAAACGGCCACTGCAGGGATGGGGTCAGCGTAAATGACTGACATGGAGGCGGGAAAACCAGAACTTTCCTACTGACACAGCAGCCATCCTGGTAGAGTAGCAAACTCTGGGTTTGGAAATTCCTGGGAAATTCTTTGAAATTCCAGGGGAATGTGGGATTTGGGAAAGAGAGGGACTGCAGTGGGGTATAAAGCCATTGGGTCCACCCTCCAAAGCAGCCATTTTCTCCAGGGGAACAGATCTCTGTTGTCTGGAGGTTGGTTGTAATTCCTGGAGATCTCCAGGTTCCACCTAAGGTTGGTAACCCTAATCCTGGCTTTACTGCTATCTTCCCCAAGACTTTGCAGCAAAGCAGGTTTGAGTAGGGATGCCAGCTCTGTGGGATCCAGCTCACTGTTCATACCAAGACATAGTTAAATAAAAAGGGGCATACGAAAACAGGGGCATACGAAAACTCTCTCATTTCAGCTCAGGGACAGACTGGACATTGTAGGCACCAGGGAATTCCCTGGTGGGCCAATGGCTTGCCTCCCACTTGGGCCTGTGAGATTGGCTAGGCTGACAGATCACAGTCCAATACTAAAAACTACACCATACTAGTACAGTTGTGCACAGCATACGAGAACCCCTGTTCTCCACACCCTGGAATCTCACCCTTCACATCCATGATGACAGATGGTATGTCCCGGCTTGGGGATGAGAATTCCTTCTTCGATCTGGAAGACTGCTCACGCCTCTGAGCACTGGATCGCCCTGCAGATGGTAAAAGATGAATAACTGTCCGTGCCAGAGCAATGGGTGCCTAGCAGCCCAGGGTTAAAGTTCAGAGTTGCATAGAATGCATATATCTATATCCAAAAACCAAATTCTGTATATTGGATAAATTAGGCAAACCAACCACCTCTGCTTATTTTGCATGATCTTTGCTGTTTCTACCTGGTCATGAGAAGGATGCAGGAACCTCTTTGGTGTCTCTAATGGCATCAGACTTTACCCAAGCATTTTAAACCTCGTCTGTTCATAAGGACTAGAAACTTGCTTCCCCCCCCTCCTTTCACCATAGAAGATACGATTGCAGAAGCCCAGAATGCACATGGCCTTGCCTGTAGGAAATCATACAACCTTTTGCTGTCACTCATGCACTGAGCCAGTTTGGTCACAGCAGCACAGCAAGTGCCAAACAACACGGGACTGATGCTTCTGTGTGGTACAGTACAGATGAGTACTTCGTCCAGGGGAGGAGGGCCCGCTCAGCATTTGGGATCCCAACCCAGACTGGGCCCCCTAGCAGTTGTTTCTTTTGAGGTCCAAATTACACGCCTAGAGTTTCAAACCAGAAGCTCATGCGCTGTGGGTAGTGATGGGTTTGGGGGCTGGATCCACACTAATTTGGCAATTTACCACCAATTCCTCTCTCCTGCTCCAGCTCCCCCTTGTTTTGCTCCTCAGGGTCGTTATTCCCCCATAGGGTTGCCAGCTCCAGGTTAGAAAATACCTAGAGATTTTGGGGGTGGAGCCTGAGGAGAACGGGGTTTGGAGAGGGATGTCAATGGGGTATAATGCCATAGAATCCACCTTCCAAAGCAGCCATTTTCTCCAGGTGATCTCTGTTAAAGGAAAGAAGGGGGGGGGACTTAACTCAAAAATGTTTGAATCAAGAACCCAAAAAGGTTAGTTACAAACCAAGTGTAGGGTCAACAAGAAGGGGAACCCGCGATACTCGCGGGGGGGGGGGGAGAAGGAAGCAGCCACAGGGGAACGTTC